GAACTATATACAGAGGATTAACTTTATCGTGGCGTTAACTTACTTGCTTAATTTCTGACCTTGAGATTTGCTCCAAAATATGTCTTTCTCATGACATTTGACTTTCTCCAAGTACAACAGATGAGGAAACTGATCCTCCACCTTTGGAAGTTCTATTTTCATATTACTCAAGTACTTGAGACGCAAGATTTCCACCCTCCACTTACACTCAGTGACAGTCTCCTCCCCTGCATGGTCCAAGCTACAAAGTTCCCCGCCTCTTATGTAGAGCTTCTTTATATTTGTCAGTTGCCTCGGATTCAGCCATGGTGGTACTTCTTTTACAGGGATGCCTTGCAGATCCAATTTTTCTAAATCCGGTGGGAATGAGAAATCCAGGGACTGGTGGGCAATTTGTTCTTTCAACTTTGGAGAAACAACTGCCCATGATATTTTGAGGCGGCGAAGAGATGAAATTTCCTTCAGAGTTTCAAACTCCTTGTCATGCATTACAGCCTCAGTCCCTATGTATATACTTAGCCGCCTTAGTTTCTTCAACTTGGCAAGATCACCGAGTCTTGAGGGAGTATTTTTCAAATTGGCTATGAGAAAACCTTTAAGTACTTGGAGGGAAGAGAGTTTGCCAATCCCTTTTGGCATGCCTTCTAGCAAGTAACACTCTGATATATCCAAATGAGTGAGCTTCCTCAACGATGAGATATCTGAAGGCAATGTCTCTAAATTGTGGCATGCTCTCAGATCCAGAATTTCAAGGCTGATGATGTTAAAGATACAAGAAGGAATCCGTGTTATTCCTGATATTCCTCGGAGACTAAGATACTTGAAGCTCAAGTAGTGTTGAGCCCCAATACCTTTCAAAAATAATCCTTCATCATCCACTTCAATGTGATGCGTGGGTGAGCTCTGCCACCGTCCCAGCTGAAGAACAACAACTTTCTTCAACTTGCTAAGCCATTCACGTTTGAAGCTAAGATAGTTGCTGTTCACATTGAATACTGTAAACAGATCTTCCTCACCCGGAGAAGTCGGGTTCTGATCAAAAACTAAGCACGCGCGCCTGCAAACTGACGCTTGACATAATGGCATCCACGGCCATGATGAATCAAAGTCGAAGAGCAGAGCGTCCCTGGCCAAGCCTATCAGCATACAACGAATCCAAGGGTGCAGCGTGCAACTAGTGGATAAATTAGCATTTCCATGTGGTTGAATCAAGCGCTGTTTCATGAGTTCGCCAAAGATTTCTTCCCCTACCTCTTCGGCTGTCTTATCTTGGGTGGCCTCGATGAAGCCCTCCCCAATCCACCAGTAAATTAGAGGCCTTTTCTTTATCACCGACTCCTCAGGGAAGATTGAGAAAGAGAGGAAGCAGAGCCTCAACTCGGTGCCCTCAAGATGCTCGTAACTCCTCCTCATATTAGCCATGGCACGACTTTCATAAATTCCTTTCTCCAAGTCCTTTTGTGACAACTCTTGTGGTAGCTTCTTAGCTGCTGTTAGACCCAACTCCGGCTGAGACCAATGCGTAAACTCTAAACCGCGCTCAGGGTAACTCGGCATTAACTGCATTAAAGGGATTGAGGCTTTTATTTGGTCGACATTATGAATCATGCCAATCAGTGCGCCGGTGATTGCCTCCATGCTGTTGGAAGTATTGCTCTCATCATCTCCCAAGAACAACTTGTCAACTCGACGTTCTAAGACAGTGAATTGGCTGAACAGAGTGTGCTCCCAGAGCGTAACTCTAGGTAGGAATTTTGAGTCTTCCATTTGTTGAAGCTCATCTTCAATCTTTTTGAAGCGACTCAGAACCACTTCCTGATCATCACCTGGCTTCATGTTTTCAATGACCTTGGCTTTGGCTTTTCCCAGACGATCCAATAACTTGGGCAGGAACTTCTCTGCATTTCTTGAGGTTGAGACTGAGGTTGAGGTGACATTTCTCATTTCAGATGCAATTACTGAAAAGGAGGTAGCCTGTTGCAGATAGATTGAGGGTAGCTGTGGAACTCAAGAGATTGATGCAATCAAACCTATCATGTCTAGCCTCTTTATTATTCAAGTTATATCTGTTTACCTCAACAACAACAATAAGTAAATCACATGAATTTATACAAACTCGTTCTCTATTTGTTGCAGATTAGTGAGTCCTCTACAGCTAACCCACCATTCATTTTTCTTTTAAAAAAACAAATAAGATAATAGAATTAACAGAAAGTAGTAGAGGAAATTGACATGAATGTGAAAACCGGTTAAAACATTTAAAACAATCACTGTAAGAACATCTTTTGGGTTATTAGTTCTATCAGTCTTTGAACTTTGACCCGATTAGCATTTTGGTCCCTCAATTTCTAAAATCGTTCCTGTGGTCCTTCAATTTCAGTTTCGTTAGAACAAATGGTATTGCCGTCAATTTTGTTAACTTTTTCTGTTAAATGTAGGGGCAAAATAGTATTTTTGTATTAAAACAAAAAGAAAATGAATAAAAATTATTTTTGTAGACTTTTTCCCCAACGGCTCATTTTACTTTTTAAACAGTTATTTGATGCTGAGCATGAATCAGTTTAATTTTATAGCTAAAAACAGTCCCGTTCTCCTGGACTGGACCCCTGTAAGGGTGGGCACGATACGGGATGACACGGGATGGAGGTCATCCCGGTGTCAATTCCAAATAGGAGAATCGGGACGGTATGACACGGGATGGAGGATTTTCAAAACATGTTCAAACCATACCGGCCCCAATCGGGACCGGTATGGTTCGGTATCAAAACTGATACCGTTCACCTTAGGCTAAAAAGAAACCAAGATCTTTTTCTTTGTGTTTCTCTCTTCTTATTTTTTTTCTTCTCTTTTTTAATTTCGTATTTTTCTTCTCATCTGTTATCCGAGAAAGAAACCCATTTGAATGAATGGTAAGGTCAAAAATGCAGATGAAGCAGCAGCCGAATGCGGTGGTAGGATTGGGATCTCGTCTTTGCTGCCGGCTGAGCAACCCCGGCTTTGCTCCTGGTGGCCTCCCCACCACGACGATGACGATCACGACTCCACATGCACACCATCCACACCAAAACCAAGTAGATTACGACCACCAAGATCTAAGATTTCCACGCTTTGATTTTGACGATGGGCTGATCGCTTAGGCTCATCGAAGAGAGAAACATAGAGAAACAAATAAGGGGAACAAATAAGGCTAAAGAAAAAAATAAGAAGAGAGAAACAGAGAGAAAAGAGAGAAGGAAAGAAGGGGGAAGAAAAAGAAGATAGAAGAAATAAAAAAATTGGCGGAGAGAATAAAAAAAGTAGCGTGGTCTCGCTGGCCTCACCACATCCAAGCTTGGAATTAATATTTTAATATTTATTATTTAATATTAATTAGTTACTGTACGATATGGTATGACACCAAACGGGATCACAAATCTGATACCGGTGTCGTGCCAAACAGTAACAGGATGACACGGTTTCATCCCGTTTAAGCATCAACACCAAACGGTTTGGCATGAGTTTGACACGGAATGGCACAGTTTCGGTACGGTATCGGTATTCCGGTTTTAATGCCCACCCCTAGACCCCTGTGGTCCAAGAAAACTGTGGTCCAAGATTAGATCTAAGAGTTGAGAGAAAAAACTGATTTAAAAATTATAATTGTATCATCAAAACACTATTTTGATTATTAAAAATAAGTTTAAAAAAAAAAAAAATCAAACAACCACCACCATTACCCCGATTTAAAAAAGGCAGAACTTTCCACCACCGGGAGATCAATTTCGACCATCTTCTTCATACAATGGAGAAGATCAACCTCCACCTCCACCTTAAGAAAATTCTAAATAAAATCTTTAAAAACAAGATCTCTATTAAAAAAAAGGCAGCCCCACACCAGATCTCCCCATTCCCTGTTCCAGAAGCACATCCACCCACCCCTCTCTGTATGTTTGTCTCTATGAGACTCTCTGTCATGTGGGATGGGTGTGGTGAGAAGAAAAACCAGTACATCTAGCCACCCACCCAACGACGAATTGCTTGTCGTATCTCGCCCCTCCTCTCGACCTGATTGTCGCCAATGACCAGATTCTCTCATGGGTCGGGTCCTTCATCGCCACCATTCAAATGGGTCAGTTGTCGAATCCTGTTGAGGCCATCGAGCTCACTTCCCCGAGTTTGTTGTAATTTCAACCGGAGTTGGTGGCTGTGAGCGTCGATGGATGCAAGGACATGTTCTTCGTTTTCTCCAGAGAGCGTGTTTTGCTTTCTTTTACTTTTTTAGTTTTAGTTTTTGTTAAATAAAATTAATATAAAATGATAACATATTGGTTTTTAAACTTGTTTTTTCTTAACCATTAGATTAGATCTAATGGTGGGTGATCACAGTTTCCTTAGACTATAGGGGTCGAAGAAAACGGGACAGTAGCTAAAAATATGAAAATGATCGAACTAGAGACATAACCTTTTGTTCCAACTAAGAGCAATTCCACCAGTTGCCCTTAGCCATGGCAAGGGGGGGGGGTTTTTA